AAATGGCAGGTGTTGAAATAAAGTCACGCATCGGAAAGGCACACACTGTTTTCATTTCTTTGAATAGGACGCGTATACCTTACTTGATATCTCTCTCGAACAAAGTTGAGGATTCTCAGCTCAAATGTGAAGTCAATCTTGTTGTGTATGGATATATATGAGAACGCATGATCTCAGATTTGCATTATATATATATATATATATATATATATATATATATATATATATATATATATATATATATAAAATATATATATAAAGAGGATTCTTGTTTTCTTGAACAAGTGTCTTGGAAAGTCGCTGAAGATCAGATTGACAGACACCGTAACCAACGGAGAGTTCTTCAGGAGAACAAATCAGTCGAGCCAGAGATGAAATGGGAAGGCGGTGGCGATAGATTTGACATGCTCTCTGGAAGTCAGGCAGCTGAAAAGATTTTTAGAAAGGCCACGTGGAACCTGAAGAAGAGTCACAGAAATTGATTCGCAGAAAAGTGGAAAGACATGAAATAACACCAAGAGGTTAGCCCAGGATACGTAAAGGTGGAAAGTGTTTGTTCGTGACCGTCACCCTGATGCAGGGCGATAAGGGCAGAGGTCAAAATGATGCTTGAGGAAAAACAACGTTAATCATTTATTCTATTTATCTACGTATTCGTTTGTTGCCGTTGGTTGTTTTTTCCCCTCAGTGTTTTACGGCGCTCGCAACTGCATAAGGTCATGATATGAGCGCGCGGGACACATTTCCAGTCGGTAGGAACTTTTGAATTTTGCCCGGGTGGCGGCCGAAGCCTACTCTTATAATAAATCGATTTTAGACCTGATTTCACCACAGTGCCTTACATATTGAAAGCACCTCTTTACATTTGTTTCATATGCACGAAAATCGAGATTATAATAGGAGCGGGCACGAGACGAGCCGAGTACCCGTTTCCCGCGAGAACGGCCCTTCCCGTCGCTGCCCGGCAACTAAACTGTTGAAGTGATACCGTTCGTTGGCTTGACATAACGAGAAACGAGAGTGATACTCTATGATTTCTTTGTTATACAGTTGCTTGGCTTCCTGGGAGTATGTCCATTCCTCATAAATATAATTGAAGGGGGAAGAAAAGAACTAGAACTTGCTTGCACCCTTCAACTACCCGCTATTCCTGTCTATAAAAAGGCCGACTAGCTTTGAGGTGCTTTCCTTAAAACTGGAAAGAGCCTCATTTGTCAATACCAACGACCTTTGACACTTTTATTTTTCAAATCCAAGATTTGTGTCCAGTGTTCAAGCAAATACTTTAAATTGCATCTCAAGGGTCTTGGACCCTATGGAATTTATATCTTGGCTATATGAGTAGAAAACGTTATTATTTAATCATTTACATGAATATCCAGTTGTATAAAAATATTATAGGGTCTGTACCCTCAGATGTTGATTTGTTAATTTTAATCATGGGCCACATCATTGTGGTGTCAAATCATGTACTAGAAAACATACTAAAGCTTAACAAAGAGAAAACAGAGATACTGACATGCACTCATAAAGTTGTAAAATCTATTGATGTCGAGTATATGTCATCAGTAATAGGAATGAAATGGTATATTGAAAATAACAATACGATAAATATCTAGGGGTGTATTTTTTTTCTTCTCAAAATTATATGAACTACCCGGTACCTCATTTCTCTTTCAGATTTATCTATATGCATAGTGCTGTTTTGTGAGCTGCGTAGAACGGGGCCTTTGTGTGTGTGTGTGTGTGTGTGTGTGTGTGTGTGTGTGTGTG